AAACGGATGACGTCATTGCTAAGCAACAAATTGGCGAATCAGAAAGAGTTAAGATTACTCACTTAATTAGAGAAGCCTCGATATAGTGTTCATTACACAGATGTCATGTTAATTCGTTTGAATGTCTGTTTCTTTTCAGATCCAGTTTGGGCATCAGTGAACTTCTGTGTTTGTGTTTGTCCCAAGTGTGTCGGTAAGTCATGAAAAACTGCCAATTTAAAAGAAATCATCGTCTGTAAGATAGCAATGTGTGGTTTCCTTGAGAGAGTGATGTTGATTTCGTAAAGTCCGTTAAGATAAAAGTAATTGTAGACTATGCACGCAGTACATGCCTATCTTTTTTTACAAAGCGACCTTACTAACTAAACGGCCTAGTTCTCAGGTTTTTCAACTCAGGCACTTTAATCTTGCAGCAGGACAGGGGCAGAGTAAAGTAAAGAAAGTGTCTGAAAATGACAATTCATTCTGTAGAGGATTAAATTAATCTAAAAGAGTACCTTTTTCTTCAAAGGTATCCATCGGAACCTTGGGGTGCATTGTTCCCGAACAAGTTCTCTTTTGATGGACCAAAAGATCTGGAACCCAACACTTGTGGAGGCAAGTCTGTTTTCCTACCGTGCCTGACCTTTTGTGGACTGGGTACCTTGTAGATTTAAACGCAAGAAATTGGAAAGGATGTGGACAAGATGTCCCCGTTTGTAAACTTGTTGTTTCGGGAGGCAGCGTGGCCGAGTGGTTAGGGCGCCGGACTTGAAATCCGGAGGTCGCGGGCTCAAGTCCCGCTCTGACCACTTAGCTGGAGTTGTTTCTCGGTAGACCCTAGTTCAACTCCTCGGTCATGCTTGTTAATAGCCAGCTGGTCTGCCTCCCGCCGGTTGGGATTTTTAAGCCTATGTATTACGTTTAGTTGATATATTTATTTCCTTCATTTAAAGTGGCATGCCTGTGAACTAGCTAGGTGTAGCTAAGCGCATTGACCACTATAAACAACAACATTTGAAATTTTTTTGTTATTAATAGCAGCTCTTGATAAATGAAGGTGGAACATTATCACCTCGCTTGATCGAGTTTTTTTAGGAATGGAAACCTGCATGTAGAAATCTTGTCTTCATTTCACAGCCAGGTTACAATTCGTCACTACTTATTGTCTCGAATGAACAAGTTAGCCTTCACCTGTCTATTCCAGGGCTTTCATTTATGTTTTCAGCAAGAGAGCAAATGGTTTTCACGGGCTGGAAAAACGTTTCGAACTACACTTCTTTATGAGAAGAACTATCCTCTGGATAGTCGAACCAGCCAGGCAAAGTCATCCTCACAGCCACTCAGTTTGCCCGGTGCCCTGCCCTTAATGAAACTCCCGCTATTTCTTTCCATCCTTTCATCGTCTGTTCATCTGTGATGTTCGTTAGTTCTCTCATTATATTGTAACATTTCTAATGATCTCTGATCACAGCTGATGATAAAAATCGGAAATGACAAAGCCAATCAGTTGCTGGAACACAAGTTACCTGAGGATGACAAAATAACGCCAGACTGTGATGTGTAAGTCTTTTCACATGAATAAAACATTACATCTGCATTGGCGCAAGGGGTAACACTCTGCAGCTACCATATTCTAATGAGACAACATTTTGGCCCAATATGGTCTAAACTCTCGTAAGCGACCACCTCCCTTAAGGTGGCTCAAAACAGTTTCTAGCAGCTAGATTTTGATGGGTCATTATGACCACTCTTTATCACTTGATGCTACAATCATTGTATCAACAAACTGCCCAATCATTGGTGAACACGTTGCTGTCATTTTCGTGACTCTGTAGGTTACCATGGCAACAGTATTACCTGCTAAAAGGACCCTTAATTACAGCTTTAGGTTCCTATAATTCAATAAGGGCACGACGAAATATTTTTGTAATATCAAATTTTAATAAGCATGATAAGACGCAACTTTTGTCAAAGTTTAGAAAAAACTGTACAAAGGGTTCAGAGCCACCTTAAGGTTTTGAAAATTTAAGGTGGCTCTGAACCCTATGTACAGAATGTCTTTAAACTTTGCCAAAAGTTGCGTCTTATCATGCTTGTCAAAATTTGATATAATAAAAATGTTTCACCGTGCCGTTTTTGAATCATAAGCCCCTAAAACTGCAATTAAGGGTGTTTTTAGCAGGTAATACTGCTGCTATGGTAACCTATTGTGTCAAGAAAATGATGACAACCTGTTAACCAATGATTGGGCAGTTTGTTGATACCACGATTGTAGCATCAAGTGATAAAGGGTGGTTGTGACAACCTATCAAAATCTAAGTGCTGGAAACTGTTTTGAGTCACCTTAAGCGACCACCTAGGCTTGACATTTTGGGTGGTCGCTTACGGAAGGTCCGACTGTATTTGAAAATCTGACTGAAAAAAAAAACTGACCTGGTTGCTTTTATTTTTCGCGATGAGGAGTTGCTATTGATGATGTGTCACGAAGGTGACTAGGAGTAATGCTGTGTGGGTTTTAAGGCTCACACTCTGAAAACCCATGACATGATCTTCTTGTGGTTTGCAGCTCGGCAAGACGTGAGTTTATCTATTCCAAGTATTGGGAAAAGAAATACTGCAAATACCACCAGGCTTTCGGAGATGCCGACGTTTTAGGAAAGGTGAATTTTGTTTTCTGAAGTTTGTCAAGCGATAAAGCCAAGTTGATTTCCATAGTAACAATCTTTAAATAATCAAGAGAGTAAGTTTTAAACTGGGAGATAAAAGCGCGGGAAAGCAGTTGCAGGCAGCTCACGGTCACACGTCAGTCACGCGTACGGCGCTTTTATAGTTCCCGCCAAAACCGACGCTACCACATGGAAACATTTGACTCAAAGTATGAGACCCTCTGATTTCAAGGCAAAAATTAACGTCATATACTGAAAGTGAAAGTTCATATAGTGTAATCGTCTGGGTGAAGGTATATTCTCTGATGTGGTTGACTGACGTTTCCACAACCTGAGCGGAAGTCATCTTCAGAGTTAGCTTTCAAAATGTACGCCTTGAAAAAGCTGTATATGATAAGACACGCGCAGAGGATTTTCAACTAGAAATTTTTATCCCTTAGCGTTACTGCCAAGTAGTTTGGTTTGTATTCTATCTCTTGTAATCCTTTTTCTTGCAATTGTTGAACTCTTCAAACGCTTGCAAAATTCAAGATAGTGAGAACCGGAAGTTGTGTGGAGTTTTTCTGCGCTGACCGCGCTGTGGTTCAGTTGGTTTCAAGCTTGCGTTTTATTGGCTAAGAGAACACACGCCCAAAATTGATTGTTTTAATTTGAAGCCTATGCTTATTGACTACCTTGAGCGCTTTCAACATGTAGCAATCAGAAAGCAAAAGAAATCGCTTACTGTGCGTGTTAATTACCATCAATAGACACTTCAGCAAAACGTTTTATTGAATATCTTATTTGTAGTTCTTGCGGGAAACAGTGGTGACTGATGATATCTTGACAACTATGGAACTGATTTTGAACAAAGTTGATGTAAGTTTAATGGCTACATCAGCCTTTTGTCTGCATATATTTGTTTCTTCTACGGATTTTAAAACCAGCTCGTGTTTGAAATCTTATATATCCATTATACAGAAATCTGTGAATCTGAGGTCAGTTTGTGTCATAATCACCTTTGGAATCTTCACAGTTCCCCTTGTTTCTTGTTCAGCTAAGCTTTCATTGTCATCGCTTTTATATTGCAAAGCTTGTAGCTTATAATTTACGCAGAAGCAACACCAGAATGTGTGAAAATAGCGACATGTAATGATCAGCAGTACCTTAAATAACAAAACTAGAAACGTCACACTAGTGCTAAGATAGAAAAAACAAGCAATTTCAAAGAAATCTTTTTAATTACTTATGACCCAGAAGTTTGCATATTAACCCTCTTAAATTATTTACTCGGTTTTCTCGTGATTCCTTCAATTATCATCGAAAATGGAACAAAAACCACGTCGACGGTTAATCGCCGTATCTGTCTTCCTCAAATGAAATGTTTTTACAATTTTAGGTGCGTTTCGTTCCTTCAGATGCCGATGACGAGAAAACACGTAAGTCATGATACTTTACGCCTAACTAAAGTTAATAAAGAAACTTTTCTCATCGTGGTCAATTTGAGTTTGAGTTTCGAACAGAAACATTGCAAATTTTGTGTTTTGCTTGACTAAAAAATTAATCCCCCAAGGTGTTATGGATTGTCAACACTCAGCGAGACCTAAGACCATCACGCGCTTTGTGTCCTTTTAAGAATTGTGTCGTCTATAGAATGAGTTTGCACGGATGCACTGGCCTTTTCCTTTTCTTTTCCCCACGGGTTGCCAAAATGATCGTCGGATATAGCATGCTGCACGAAAGTGTGTCGGGCTTTAAAAAAATTCGAAATATTGTAACTTTGGCGCCTCGCGAAACGAAAAATTTGCTATTGGTCAACTTGAAAGTATATTTTCTCAGAAAACAATAGGAATATCCTTAAAGCCCGAAACACTTTAGTAGCCTATCAGTTGTTGAGTGATATAGTACAGTTTGTTTGGTTCTCCGTGATAATGCGAAGGCAGGTTATTCGGCGAAATGAGCGTCTATAGTTTTTAGATTGAGGCTTCAGCTTGCTAAAGAAAACCAAAAGAATTTAAAATGGTAATATATTCGGATTCTTCATTTTATTACCTTTTTCGGTGATTTATGGTTTGCTGGAGTTTTACCGAAACTAACGCGCTTCCGAAACATTTCCCGGAAGGCATCCCAAAGGTTATCAGTAACCTCAATGCGCGGGAAAATATAAAACAAAGCAACAACCAATCACAGTTCTGTGTATATTTACGTCATCAGAAAGGAGCGCGCGTCAAGAGACGTATTTGAAAGTATCATAATTTTAAGTAATTAGGAAGTCTGGATTTGGAATAATTGAGACTAAAGCTTGTGTTTAAAGTTGGAGCCATTTCCATGTTATAACCCTGACGCCATGATCTGTTTATTCAATCTCTCATTTTCACTGTCATTTTCGTTGTAGCTCTTGAGCTGGCTGGAGAAGCTGGCCAAACTCTTCAAGCGGTGAGTAGAACACGGTTGAAATCTTGCGCTTAAGGTTGCTGCATGAACAACCATTGTTTTTTTTGTTTCAACGATTCCAGAGTGTTTTGGAAGAAGAACAACACGGGGCCCAATTACCGCTTGTCGTTTTGATTAAAGGTTTAAGTTACCAAGTTTACCAACTGCGCAATATGGTTTTTTCCCAAGTACGATACTAAATGTTTCTGCAGTCATGTGCTTTCTATAATTATTGCACCCTTATAGTTTATCTTGGCCGTGTTTCTGGCCCCTAGACGCCTATACGAGTATTTTTTTTTGTCCTTTAGGAACTGCTTCGTCAGAACGGCGGAGAAGGAGGTATGTATCGAGTTGTTTCTGCGTTAATTTAATTTAAAATTTAAAATAATATTTGCAACGTTTTCGAGGTAAACGTATATATTTGACTCAATTTCACTTTTGCTGTTAAGGTAAACTGGATCAAAATTCCTCGGACGACATGCCAGCGTCAACCAACAGTGAGGTAAAAATTATGTTTTGTACATTGATTAAAAGATTTAGCCTGCCAACATGTATAGTTCCCCTAAAGATACGTGAGTAGATATTCGGAAATAAATTTACGAAAATTGTGGAATCATGTTGCAAGTCTTGCTTTTATTCTGTTAGTAGCTTTAAATTCATGTTCGAAATAGTTTTCGAATCAGCAAGGGACTAAAATTCTCATTTGCCTGAGCCCTTGATGACCTTGATCACGTGAAAGGTTGCGTAGTTGCAGACACTTACGACTTTAATCTGAAGTGATCTTTTCAGTGTGCTCGTGAATGTTCGTGCGGAATTGTGATTGGTCAGCAAGTTTCGGAAGCTCATCGGGTCGTTGAACGAAGATACAGTTATTCTCATTCTCATTCAGTCATTGATTTTAAATCTATCCTTGACAGGCGTCACAAAGTATTCCCATTGAAGTAGTTTATGAGAAGGAAGGATTCTTGTACAAGAAGGAAGGGGTAAGTATTGTCATGAGAAAAGGGTACACAGCAAGCCCTGTTTTGGTTTTAAGGCATATTTTAGGCTAAAACAGGTCTTGCAAGGGACATCTCTGGTACCCAGAGTTGCACCAACATGAGCGTCACGTTTTCAAGTTTGCCAGTTCTACGATCCTTGTCAATCCACGCCATTGTTAATCATAGTCACTTCCTAATGGGTTCCTGTCATTTATCCAATTCTGTTCTACAGAGTTTCTCCAGTCTTCTTTGATGTAGATATGTTTTAGAGCGTCACAAATTCATGTTGAAAATTAGCGGCGAAAATAGGAAGCAGACACTCGAGTAGCCAAAACTGTCTGAATTGTCTTTTACAGAACTGGAGGAAAAGATGGTTTCTGTTGAAAGACAGACAGCTGAAGTACGCCAGAGGGGTGAGATTAGTTTTCATCTTCCATTAATTTTGATTTGTTAAATAAATTATATTTTAAACTTCCAGTGAGTGTAGCTTCTTAAAACAGTTACTCAAAACCGCTGGCATATTTGTTTGCAGCCTCACGACAAGGACGATCTTGTGACGATTGATCTCCGAACTGTGACCTCACTGATAAAGTGTCCTAAGGGAGAGCTGCTGCAGCTGGATATTGTTACCGTTGAAAAGTAAGAGTGCTTACTGATTACTGCTTGCACTGAGGGGAGCCGGAGAAAGCGTGACCCGAAATGGCCTCATCTTAGCGAGGAGACCGAGTCACGCTTTCCTCGAGTTCAGTCACGTCAAAGGGAGTAATTTTACTTGAGCTTGCCAATGTGTATGTACGTTTCCATTTCTATGTCTTAATCAAATCACTGTTCCTCGGGAAGGAACTTTCAAATGTAACTTTCTTCTCTTCAATTCTTTAGAACACACAGTCTGAAGGCCGACACAGAGGAGGAACTTGAGGGTTGGTACTCCGCTCTGAGAAGCAAACAGGTGCGAGCCTAGTGCTATTCAGACCTTGATTTCACGAAATTATATATTCATGTCTTTGAAAATCTCTGATCTCCTCTCAAAGGTGTTTGATGTTTGGCTGAGTCAGCAAGAACTTGGCTCTGATGGCATTCCTCACCTGGTGGCGAAATGTCTGCAGTTTGTCGAAACCTATGGTATGTCAGTCTTAGCAGTTTGTTAATTAGCAGGCCTATGAAATTCAATACTCGGAGAACAGATATCCCTATGGAAAGAATTCTGAAGCACGTGGTTAATTTTCATCGGAGGCCCCGTCACACTACGCCGGAGGAATTTGAAAACGCAGGTTTCACTCTGAAAACGCATCAAATGTTTTCCGTCCACACTACTTCGGAGGAATTTAAAAACGCAAAAATTGCCGGTTATTTTGGATTTGTGTTGAAGGAAAACTCGGTCAGGGAAGTCACGTGATTATCACGACTACATCATCTTTGGACAGTTCAATTTTCAAAATGTTTTTGTCCAGACGAAAACGAAAAGCCGGCGGTTTCAAATTCCTCCGGTTTGAAGATCGTTTTCGAAAATCCCCGTTTTCGTGACGTATTAGTGTGGACGGTAGGCCTGACCGTAGAAATAAGGCTGCGTTTTCAAATTCCTCCGGCATAGTGTGGATGCTGACTGAGCAATCTTGTCTTTTTAAATCCAGGTGGTCTTGAAATGGAAGGAGTCTATCGAGTGAATGGCGGACAGTTGACAATGAAGAAACTAAGAACGTCCTTTGATCAGGGTAAACTCTGTTTTTGTGAAACTCACTAAAACAAGCTGTTACTACTTGCTCTTGGCATCAAATTCAGTTTAGTGGTCGTAGGACATTTCGTGTCCGCTTATACAAAAGTACGAATTTCTTTTCTCAGACGCCCGCAGTGTGTTGCTAACTTTGGATGAATGCGGCGTTCATGACGTCACTGGAGTGCTGAAACAGTATCTGCGACAGCTGCCCGACCCAGTCATCCCAGCCACAATGTACAAACAATTTATTTCAGCAGGAAGTAAGTACTAACTAGGATCATCATTTCTTGCTTCTAAGTAAATTACTAACTGGAAATTACCTCTCAAAATGGAATAAAAGAATGTACGGTTGTTAATGTTTTTTTTTTTTGGTGCTGTAGTGAATCCAGACCACAATACCAGGTTGCAGACGATTAAAGCGCTCATAAACCAACTTCCCAAAGTGAACCATGACACTCTGAAGGCAATCATCTTTCATTTGACGAAGTAAGAAGCCTATCTGTACCAAGTTCTAACAAATTCTTATTAAGACCTTCCGGTTCTTATTTTGTTGTTGAAATAGTGCAAGCACTGTAGAAGCTCTTGCATGTGTTTCTTCGCCCGATATCTTGTGCTGTAGTACCGGTGAATTTAATGTAAACCTAACAAATTGCGGGGAGTGACCAGGCCTAGCACCCTGTCTAGGGGGGAGTAAAAATACTCCTAGCNCCCAGCATTAAGTTGGCCGGCACCCATTTATACACCTGAATGGAGAGAGGCACTGTGTGTGTAAAGTGTCTTGCTCGAGAGCACAACGCAATGTCCCCAGGCAGGGCTCGAACCCGGACCACTTGGCGTACTAACCATGAGGTCACCGCGCTTCCACCTAGGTGTATAAACTAGCATCCCATCTAGGGGGGGAGTAGAAAGAGTAAAAATACTCCTAGCTCCTTCATGCTACAGAAACCGGGATACGCTCCGGCTTGATAGGCCACTTGGTCCGTATGCAGACTTTACCTTTACCTCCATGATACAGACCCCTTCGTAATAAGCCGGGGGATCTCGGCTCAGGGGCCTGTTTCTCGAAGGTCCCGAAGAGTTTTCGCACCCGGAAAGCCGTATCATAATCTCAAACCTTCTGATTACAGAGCTGTTTTATTTACATATAATTTCTTAATATGACCAGAAGTTCCCTTCATGCAAGAAGTTTCAGGCGTATACACCTTTCTGTTTTTAGATACAGATTAACTAAAAATGGCTTTGCGGGCCCGAATAGTATCCGGGGCTTTCGAGTAACAGGCTCCTGGCCCTTTGATGTCCTTTTTAAAAAGCTTTGACTGTATAGTTTTACTTTGTTTTAGGGTGGTAGAGTTAGTTGTTGTGAATAAGATGGGAGTGCCTAATATTGCCATGATCTTCGGACCTACTCTGATGTCCAATGTAAACGTAAGCACTGGTCTTGTATTCTGACAAGTATTAAACGTTGGCCTTCTGACATTCTCTCAATTGCTTTGTTCATTTTTTTAGCTTATTGTTTAATTTTCTGACTTTGATTGAAGTGTCACGCCATGGTACATATGTTGTTAAAATTTTAGACTGGTCGAATGGACGATGCATCAATCAACCAGGAATTCTCGATCGTAGGAGACATGATCACATATTATCAGTGGCTATTCGATGTAAGTACACTGCTGGGAAAGTACAGTTAACACCCGCATATAAGAATCTAATGAATTAAGAACAGGAGCCCATGACACGGAGCCTTCATACGTACTATTACGTAGAGTCAATCCTTTCCCGTATCATTCTATTTTTAGAACTGTAATTAGCGCAAGGGTCTCTTGGTTTTCCTCGAAATATCTTGTTTCTGCAGTTAGAAAATACAAAATAGAGGGCAAAAGCGGGATCCCAATCTTTGTTGCAACAAAGAATGGTCTTAGCTCGGGTATCATTGGGTAGTGAAAAGGGGTCGTAGGAAAACTCCCACAAGAGCTGTTTCTAAAAATAGAAAGATACTGGAAAGGGTTGATTCACAGGGTTAGTATAGGAGATGGAGGCTCCGGGAGAATGATAAGACCTTCGTTATATACGAACCCATTCATCCTGAAACTAGAAATTGGGTGTGGCCTGTTTGGTTATACAAACTAATCTTTTTCCTTTTATCGAAAAGGCCTCTGAGTTTGTTGCAAGATTTACTACACTGCAACACTGTTGATTTGTTAATTTTTTAAATTTTTTTAATTTTATTAGGTTGGCGACGAAGAAGTAGAGAAAGACAGGGTACCAAAAGAGTGTTTATTGAATTTTCTCATTGTTTTTAAAATAATTACCTGTTTAGCGTTTTGCTGATTAGTGCTGTCTTCGAATTCTTCATTTAGAAAATCAAAGATGCCTCACAGAAGATAAGAGAGCTGATTGAATTAAAGGTAAAGTTTGTTTGGCATTCAGATTGCAAACAAGTCACGACTTTCTTGCTGTTTTAAACTTTCACTACCGTCTTAAAAAAACTGTAGACCTTACAACCTCGTTTTTCCAAGTTGAGTTTATTTTTCTTTCTTTTACAGGAAAAATCCCAAAATTCTGGCGGAGAATTCACTTTGGATATTTATGTTAAAGAAAAGAATGATAATCCTTGTCGACCAAAGGTTATTTGTTTTCATCGCTTTTGTATTGAACAACGTCTGATTTCTCCTTATGATATCGATATATTGTCAAGTAGGTAGGTGACGAGAATTAAGAAAATCATCAACTTGGCATCTTTGTCTTGATGTGCGGGGTCGGTTGTCCAAACCCGACTAAACTAATCCAGGATTGGCGAGAATTCGGATTTCAGTGTTGTAACTTTTCGGTTTTGAGTTTGATATAATCTCAAACTACACAAATTGTATGCACTGCGTTGTGCTTCCGCTGTGATAGAAATTGAATAAAATTGTGTTTAGCTGCAAGAAAATGCGCGAGTGGTATCCGCTGTTCTTCGAACAAGATTTGTTGAAGAGTCAGAATAATATATCTGACATAACATAATTTAAAAGGAAAGCAGTCTTTGTAGCATTATTATGAACCTATCAGAATTTTATCACCTATTGGCGATCGTGTTGATACGGTTCCCCTTTAGCACCAAATTCTCCAAACTTAAATTAAAGAAATGTGTGACGGTAAGAAGGAAGAATTGCTGCTTTGATCTGAAATCTACTGATTTCTCTTTAGGTTTCTTCAGAGATGACAGCAGGAAGGCTATGTGCTGAGATTGTAGCGCAGAAGAATCTATCACGTGACGTAGACTGGGTTCTCTTTGAAGTTATCGACGGCGGTGCTATGGGTGAGTCCAGTCGGTCATTTCAGTGATTCAGTTTGCCAGTGAGATGTAGTTACCGAGCCTTAGCGGAAAATCACATGGCCAACATGTACTCTTCACGTGCGCAAGGCCAATAAAAACCAGCGAAAATGTTCATCACCAAATAAGTCTGTGTTACAGCCGCTTCCACTGAGTTTTCAGTCAGAGAGCTTAACCAAACCACGACGGTGACGACGACGGCAACGACAACCAGAACGCTACCAACCAAAAGGTTGATGAACAAAACAATGGCTGTACACGTGCTTTGTAAATCTTTGTACATTTCTTTGCCGTGCACAACAACAACGTGAAATGACCAAGTTCCGCGGTGACTAATTTTCCGTATTTTCATTTGGAATTGAACGCTGGCGTGACATATTTAGCTTGACCAAGTTCTGAGACCAGTAGGCACACTGAACAGATCCAGACATTTGCGAAATTCGAAGGTAAAATGTAAATTCATTTTTTTACTAGCCATTGTCCTCGGGGTCGCTGTCGTCATTGCTCAAGCTCTCTTTTCTTTCGGGGAGGGGGGGGGGGGAGCAGTTGTAACAGAGGCCACACCAAACTCAACACATGTATTGAAAGGGTGATAGTCCCAGCATCTACAACTTTGCTACCGTCAAAAAATATAAGAGTGATGTAAAATTGATTCCTCTGTATTAAAAAGCGTCAAAGGTATAGCTCTTTCAAATTTTAAATTCAGATCGATTGGAGAAATTCTTGAATTATTTTAACCAGAATGCTTTAACTGAACTTTGCACCTGTAAATCTTCATTTTACATTCTCTATCCACAGTATTTATTATTGTATATGTGATTCGTTCATACACTTCGCATACTTCATATTTTAAAGTAGATAGATAGATAAATTGAAATATGTCTGTAGAGTTTAGAGATATTCTATTTTTCCTTGTCTGTATCAGAACGTGCATTCCAAGTCAGAGAGAAAGTCATGTCGGCGGCAAACTGGGGGACTGGTAACTACCTGATTGTTAAAGAGAATTACATCGCGGAAGAGATCGCCCCACATGTAAATATTCCACTCTGGTTTTCTCTTTGTCGTTATTTCAAATTATTTATAACAATAACTGAAAGTATAGATTCATCTTTAAGAATTTTTTCCAAAATTAAAAGAAATTGCCAAAAATCTAAATATGGGATAAAAACAGAAACTAATTATAGAACTTAAGCAATTTCCTTAACGAATTTGTATGTGCCTGTAGCAAAGAGGGTTTTACAAAACTTGGGTCTGATGTTTCAAGTTTGTCTGGAAATCCGGCCATTTCCATCCTTGCCAGCGCTTTTGATCCCCACCTCTTACTGTCTTTCTGTCATTAACTCATTACTGTTCTACAAAATCAATCCATTACTGTTGGGTTTCATGCTATCTAGCTGCAATTTCTGCCTGTTTTTTCAGGTTTGTCGTGAAAAATACTTCTCCATCCATGTCATCGTTAATCTTCCAAATGGCTTCCTGTCATTTGTTGAGTTCTTTTTTACACAATCTTTTCTTTATTGTAGGATTTCATTTCTGTTGATGGTGGTGTAGTTGTTTATGACTGACTGCTTTTCGTCCTAGGTCGGTTCATTACTGTCAATTGAAGGCACCTTGCACATCCGGGATCCGAAAAGCAAGAGCTGGAAGCAGAGTAACGTGTGCCTGAAGAATGGTTACATGTCCGTCAATAAAGAACGTGGGGTAAGACACTTTTCTTCTTAGCAATTACTTTTGGAGTAAAGCCTGAGAGGTGCGGTGGCTTAATGAGACTCCAGATCGAGAAATCCGGGTGTGAACCCAGACCGGGGTCACAGTGCCTCTCTCCACCCAGGTCTACAAATGGGTTCCGGCGATCTTAACGCTTGGGGGTAGCCCTGCGATGGACAAGCATCCCATGCAGGGGGGAGTAGACATACTCCTAGTCGCTCTATGCTGCTAAAACTGAAGTTAATTACCGGCCTGTTTCGTGGCCTCTTTTTTCTTTTTCAGTCGATATTTAAAGCCATCAAGTCGGACAAATCTGATTCTGAACAATGGCCGCTGCATAAACTGACCTTGTACGTGGGCGTTCCAGCTGAGAAAGCAACCAAAGGAGTGGACACTAGGTAACCAGCTGCGAGTTAATTCTCCTCACTGATTCTTATAGAATTCACTTCATTTTAGCTCTGAGAATTTGATATTTCATCAAGAAATGAAATCTCTTGATGAAATATCAAATATCTCATCACCTGGTTTCTTGACGATGTATTCACATTGTAAGGAGAAACTTGATTTTGATTACTCACGCGGGCATTATTAATGTCAGTGAATTGATGTTATTTGCTCTCGGCAGTTGCGGATTCACTGTTGTTGTGAAAACGGACCAAGAGGATATCGTCAGGTCAGTGGCAAACCATCGATTATTATATGGCAAGGTAGTCTTGGAGTAAATTCTAGCGTTCTGATTGGTTCTTTCTTATTGTGCGGGATTTTGCCATACTGCTTACTAAAACTAAGCTAGGCTGTAGCTTACGCGAGCCGTACTGGAGAATTTTGACCCTCGAGTTATTTTTGCATGTCTTAATAGGTATATGTGTGTAAAGGACAAAGCTGATAGAAATCGTTGGTTGGCAGCCATACTTAACATGAAGGTATGTACGATTGTTGTTGCTCATATTTATATACAGCTGATAGCCTGTCTCTAAGCTTAATTTTCTTCCTGAGTGGTCAAACAAGAAACGAGTGTTCATTGGTTTCAGTTCAGCAGTAATGTCACGTGATTCTTGCATGCGTTTTGACTGGTTAGTTATGAAGCTGATTGGTCTACTAACAGGGATCTTAAGAAACCACGACGGCGACGCCTAGGACGACTT